TGTTTGGGCTGTTTGCATTTGGATCAGTGGATCAGTGATCGTGTGCTCAGGAGACACCCAACATCCCCTGCTTCAAAATAATCTCTGCCAACTTTAACAAGACATTAGTTTAAGTGTCACAGAATCGATAAATATATAGTAGTCAGAATAATCAGTCATGTTTTTTTCTGAACTGATGAAAGACAAAAAGCACATTCACTTTACACACAGCTACAAGGTTAAGTTGTGTGGATGTTGGTTGTTTAAGGTGTCACGTGACCAGTGGAAGGTAGTTGACTTCTCAGTGGCTCAGAAAAAGGCCTGTTAAGCTTGTGATTTATTAAATATATCCCACCCCCATCTAAGAACAAATCTGAGGAGCAGTTTCAGCAACAGGTTCCCACAACCTCGCTGTCTGAGGGAACGTTACAGGAGGGCATTCCTTCCCGCTGCTATCAGACTCTTTAATTCATCCACTTGGGTCAGGTCCACACATGTGGAACAGAATTAATCACACCTCACTGCACCCTGTCACTTTTTTACACCATGACATATATTTGTCCACATACTTGTCCTTTTATATTTATATGTTTATTTGTAGCTATAACAAGATAGGTACAAAATAGGTACATTTTTATCTATTTATCTTAATATTTATCATCAATATCTTTGTTGCTACAGTCATTTTGTATGAGTGCTTGATGTTGGTTGTATATTTGCGCGCGTCTGGTTGTCAGTAGCAATTTTTCGTTTTTGATGTACGTAACCAAGATTGTTAACATTTGTAATTGTATTTATAGGTTCAACATTCCCAAAGGCTTAATGACCCGCAGTTAAAGCCATGGGCAGTAGTGAGAAAAAGACAGGTTGTCTTGGGAGCACACTGTAACTGCACAGCTGGCCTTGGTGAGAGCTGCTCGCATGTGTCAGCTGTGTTGCTCAGCACATGGCAGCATACCGGTGGAAAAAAAGAAGAGATAGCTGTTACATCTAAGAAGTGCAAGTGGGCCATACTAAGTGAGGAGTCTTCAAAGAAAGTTGAGTATCAGCAAAGCAAGGACATCATTTTTAACAACTCTAAACAAAATAACAAAGAGAAATCTGCAAAAGATCATCCTGGCCTCCCAGCTTTCCCACCTCTGACTGCTGCAAGACCAACTGTATCATAACCTCTGCCAATGCCGCACACAAGTGGGGAAGATCATCGAACCTAAATTAAAATTGCTATGCTAATGCTATTTTTGTTATTAATATAATTCAGTGTTTTATATTGCACCTTACTACTGAAGCAAGTGGCTAGTTTGTAGAGTTTGTTCAGTGACAAAGGCAATAAAACTGTTTTTCTGATTTTGATTCTGATCTGTATCTGTCAATCAGGAATATGAAATGTGGTTAGTGGAAATCATTTGAGATGGATGTGAAGATCAAAAAATAGTGAGCATCTGCCATTCTCTTATTTTGATATTTGTAGGACAAGTAAAGCTTTCCCTTCGAAAGTCAAGTCACAATAAGCAAACAAAAAGTGAGAGTTAATATTGTGTATTTGTTGTTTGAGATCATCAGTCACATCATTTTCATTTACATCACTGGAAGGGCACCACAGATTCAGATACATTTGTAAGCGCACAACATGCACCCACAATCTTGTCTAGATAGGTCACATCATTTTCTCTGTCTATGTCTGTGAAAGTTATGGGGACAGTGCTTTGCAAGATCATGTACTGTTGACAGAGAACTCCTATTACTCTTTTATATGTATCCTGAGAGAAGCTAGACATCTGGTGTTCTGTGAGAATCATGTTCTTTGATTTCTCCAGTGCCTTCAACACTTTTCTTCCCA